AAGTGACACACAACGCAAGTTATGCTCGATTTTTTGCCGATTTTTGACACACCACGCCAAAAAGGTTGCCCATCACTGTATTCTGTGCTGTGCTATCCACTCTATCCATTCCATTCCATTCTATTCTAATATGTTCCCCTGGATGAATGACCTGGGGAGTCCCATATCTTGACAAAAGAGGCCTTGGGAATCTCTGTCATGTTGGAAATGAATGGAAGCTCTTTTTCTCTGGTGGCTTCCATGTTAATTCTGTCCTGGAGTACAGAATGTTGTTCAGAATCAGAAGGAAAGTCCACATAGGGATATGGGTGACTTGCACAACAAGGGGGGAAAAAAGATTCTTTCGTGAATCAAGGAATCGCATCCTTTCCACACAGTAGTGCTAAGCCTGCAGTGCATCAGAATATGCTAATACTGCCCTACGTACAACAGTAACCATTCTGAAATACATTTAAAAACGAAATAGGAAAATAAAGCATCAGTTGGTTTAGGACTAGAATTTCTTTCCAGATTATTTTGAGGAAGAACTGCGTGAGAGTCGGTTTTTCTAACACCACCTATCCAGGCCTTCGATACTGTAAAAGAGAAGATTTGTAATTCGATGTTGAGTTGTGGAGTCCTTGTTGGACTCCCTGAGCTTGGCTGTTTTCTTGCAGACGTTTCATTACCCAATTAGGTAACATCATCAGTGTCAGCGGTAATGGAATGTCAGCAAGAAAACGAGCAAGTTCAGAAGCACCAAGGACTACGCAGTTCCACATTTCTTTTTTTGCCTCCAGTGAATGCATTTTTCCTACTACACTCTGCTGCAATAAACTGTTTCACTTACATAACATTCTTACTTCTCATTGATAAGATACCAAACTTGATCCAAATAAATATATCTAAGGCAAGATTAAACCTCCCACACCTCTTCCACTCTGATTCAAGCTACTAGTCATACATTACAACCTGGAATATGAATGAGTACATATTTTTCATGGTGGGCAGATTCAGGGAGGCCAATCACTCCTTTAAAATTTTTCCTGCTAAATGGCAAAAGATGCAGAACAGACTAGAGCGATGGTGCAGAAGTATGATTGGTTCCTTATCAAATCTCTTAAGAAATGATCTTGTTCTTTTTCTCTTTTAAAAGTTGCCTGCGACAGTTTACCTCTTCCTTTGCTCAAGGGCCTTTGTGCTCTGTCCCCCCCAACCCTGGAGGCAAACACTGGAAAAGAATATCTAGGAATGTTCAATCTCTTGACCAGGAATAGCCATAGAGCAGTGTTTCTCAACCTTGGCCACTTGAAGATGTCCGGACTTCAACTCCCAGGATTCCCCAGCCAGCATTCGCTGCCCACTACCCACAATGAGCCCAGAAGCAGTAGCCGCTGCTAGCTGCCCCGCACCGTGATTACTCGCTCCCCCTCAGGCCATCGGCCAGGCATGCAGAGGGGGTGTGGTGACAGCAAGGGGAGCCGAGCAGGGGCAGCACTTTGGTGGGTGAAGAAGTGCTGAGCTGAGGGGGGAAAAAGCTCTGCTGGACAGGGGAGCGGTGTGGGTCACTCCATGAGCGGAGCCTTTTACTATTTTTTTCTCTTCTCCTCATGAGAGTCACGCCGACAGCGGCAGGAGGAGCAACAGCCTGGCGTGTGCTCCCGATCCGCCCTGCCTGAGGAACAGGGGGGGGGGGTTGGCTGTTTTAAAAGCCCTGTGTGGAACTCCTCTCCTGTTCCTTCTTTTGCTGTTTGAACAACCACGTGGGGTGCACTGCCTTGTCTTTCACAGCCCCCTCGTTTCCAATTAGGGCGGGGATCCATGGAGAGGGACAGAAAAGATGGATTTCTTCTCCCCCCCCCCCAGTAGGAAACAAGGTCGCTGTCAAAGCAAGGGAGCGTGCCCCACATGGCTTGTTCAAACCGAAGAATTAACAGGAGGGGAGTTTGGCTGTTTAAAAAGCCCCACGTGGATCTCCTCTCCTGTTCCTTCTTTTGCTACTTGAACAACCACGCGGGGCGTGCAGCCTTGTCTTTCACAGCTCCCTTGTTTCCAATTGGGACAGGAATCCATGGAGAGGGACAGAAAAGATGGATTTCTTCTCCCCCCCCCAATTGGAAATGAGGCAGCGCTCAAAGCAAGGGAGCACACCCCATGTGGCATGTTCAAACAGGAGGAGGGCACAGCGCTGCCGCCTTTGCCCTTGAGGCTCTTCTTGTGGGACATGCTGGCTGGTGCGGCCCCAGCTGCCAGCTCCTCCATGCACAGCTGGGCTCCCAGCGCTGCCAGCCTCCTGTCTGGTGCCTGTCCTCGTCAGTGCAGTCCATTCCCCTAAGCAAAGGAGGAGGTGGAGAGCTGGGCAGAGGAAGGGGGAAACCCTAGTTTGGGGACTTCTGCCCCTTGTGCCATGCTTTGAAGCCGCCAGAGCCCTGCACGGATCTCTTTGGGGTGCTGCTGGGCAACCTGGTTCTGGGGGCGGTGAGAGAGAGATGAATGGGTTCCAAAAGATACGCTAAATTTCATGAACCGGTTCTGGTGTACCAGTGCGAACCGGGAGAAACCCACCCCGATGCTTAATGCATTTTACTAAAATGCATATCATCTTTAGTGTCAGTTATTCTTTTTTCCTCCCTTCAGATAAGGTTAACCAAAAAAATAAATAAATCTTCCCTTCAAGTTGTCTTGGAAACGTAAAAAGTGTCCAAACTAGCCTTTTATTTTTCTATTTCCTTGAAGAGAGGGTTGCCAAATTTAAGACTATGGCTTGAGGCTAAGATTCAACCTTCAAGAGAAGACTCAGCAGCAGGTGGACTAAGAGTGTTCTTCATCTTCCAGGAAATTATACTTCATAGGATGCCCAGAGCATATTTTTCTTGCAGGTCATATAATCAAATCCTGTGATCTTAAAAAAAGTTCATTTAGTGACTCTTTGAAGTCACAACAGCACTGAACAAAGTGAGTTACGACAATTTTTCACACTTACAACCATGGCAGCATCTCCATGGCCTCATGATCAAAATTCAGATGCTCGGCAACTGCCTCACATTTATGATGGCTGCAGTGTCCTGGGCTCAGTTGCAAACTTCTGATCAGCCAAGTCAATAAGGAAGCCAGATTCACTTAACGACCATGTTACTAACTTAACAATTGCAGTGATTCATGTAACAAGTGTGGCAAGAAAGGTCAAAATGGAGCAAAATGTACTTAACAACTGTCTCACTTATTGTTGTGGCCTGTCGGCCGCTGGCCCCTCCAGCAACCAAACCGGAGGAGGAGGAGGAGGAGGAGGAGGAGGANTCCCCTCAGCTTTTCTCTCAAGTTAAAAACAAATTTCCATCATCCCTAATTTCTTTTTAACGTTGAACTGTCACTCAAGGAACATTTGAAGCACATCCTACTGTTTAATGCAATGCTATTTGTGCCCACCCTTTAAAAAAAAAAAAAAAAGATCCCCAGCCTTTTACACAGCAATTAGGATTTTCAAAAAGCCTCCAATGCTATCAGTGAAATCTTTTAAAAAGTTAATACAGGTGACAAAAGTTTAACTTCCTCTTCTTGAGTGCTATGTTCTCAATCAGCTCGTTAATTTTAAGGGTGATAACGAGGCAATTTTGTCCTCACCACTTCTAATAACCACATTTTTCATTTGCTGGCATCTAACCCTTCATAAGGGGAAAGAAAGGACAAATAGTTTCCAATCCAGATGCCAACCCTGGAAGCTGAACTGACCAAAGCCATTTTACTGCTTCAGTGAAGTGTTGCCACACCGGAGCTCAGAGACAGGGAGGGGGGGGGGATTTGAGACAGCTGGGATTCTGTAGCCAAAACAAAATACTTTCTCTTGGGAACCAAGGACATTCTCACATCTGGTCGGAGGAAGGCGGAGTGATGCTCCCCGGCTGTCAGACTGTACTGTGATTAGACTATGTGATTTATTGTTTTGAGAAAGAGAAAAACTTTTACTTTTAATTAGTTGAAAACCGTGGGAGTCTTTAGAGTCGGTTTCCAACAGATCTGTGCCAATGCACTTCCAATAAAGATATTCTTTGAGGAGTTCACCCGCCTCGGAGATTTGCTTGCTATGGGTCTATTACTTGGAACCCTGACACCAGACACAAAACAAGTGTTATCTTTTCAATATTACTTACCTCTGCTTCCACAATCCCTGATCATCTTCTGGACTCAGACTGCCAATTCTAAAATACAAAAATGCAGAATGTTGAACCAGCTTATCAGTGGAATTCCAACAATGGGTTTCAGTCAGTAACTTCAAAAATGCAACGGTTTGAAAGGATGGAGAAAGAAGAAAGCAAATATGGGTCTTTTGTTTAATAAGGAATTGGACAATTTTGTGGTCATGCATACCATTACAGATAACTCTCACTTAGCAACTACCTTGGACAATGACTGTATGTGATTACAAAGTAATGAAAAGTAACTCAGTGACCGATGATGGCCACATCTATGACCACTGCAGCATCTCTCTTTCTCTCTTACATGTTCACCATTAGTCACTATACATTTGCCCTATGCTTGATCTATTCCCCCACCCCCAAAACAGAGGTTGCCTAAATGAACTATCTCTTTCTGAGCTGCTTTTGGATCCATCCCAGGGATCCCTAAAAAAAATGCTAACACCAAGTTAACAAGCTTCAGTTCTGAGACCTTAATTAGTTTGATTAGAACCTTCCCTGACACAGACAAGACTTGGTGTTGTGGCCTGTTGGCCGCCAGCCCCTCCAGCAGTAAATCAGAGGAGGAGGCGTGGGAGTCAGGCATCAAGGCAACCTGAGAGTTCCATGGGGGAAGAGGGAGTGGAGCTGGCAGGCAGCGAGAGAGAGGGAGGGAGGGAGAGGGAGAGAGAGAGAGAGGGAGGGAGAGAGAGAGAGAGACGGAGCCTGAGCCATCCGTCAGATGGAGAGTCAAGAGCCCCCAGGTCTGGAAGTGGCTAATGAGGAAGAGGAAGAACAGCTAAGTCCAGTGCCTGATGCGCGGATGCGCAGAAGGCAGAGGACAGCAGGGGAAATCTGTGGGGATCCTTGGAAAGGAAGAGCCACTGCTGCTAGTGAAGCCCCATCCTAGCTGTGGGGATAAAAGGCAGGGGGCAGAGATGAATAAAATGTGACAAATATTCATCTTCTGACCGGACTTGTTAACCTGCGTTGAGAAACTTTTTGCTGGGACTACTGGCAATCCGAATGAAAGGAATCTCCGAGTTAACGTCAGAGGGTTTGTCGTGTTTGGGGAGCTGGGTCAAGATACTTGGGATGGGTTGAGGTGTGCATGTTCAATGCAAACATATCCCTGGCCAATACAGTCTCTAAACAGTTGCAACAAGATTCTATACGATAGGGATCCCCAATCCCCCAACACAACTGGGTCACAGCCTGTTTGGAACTGGGCCGCAGAAGCGGCGGGTGGGAGCACACATGCAGCTTTATTTGAATGAGCAGCAGGCAAGCACATGCAGCTCTATTTGCAGAAGCTGCGGGTGCCCGCTGCTTGCACAAACGGAGCTTTGCGTGTGTGTGCAGTCACCCACCACTCATACCGGACCGTTCCTCCTACTCCCCCCCACACACACCAGACCAAAGACCTCTGCTATATGATCCAAGTTGTCCGATGACAACTGCAACGTTTTCCAAACCAGGGTGTGCCTTGGCCACGTCACAATCTGATTTCTGAAAATGGAGTCTTACCGAAGGAATTTTGTTGTGTTCGCCGAGAAGCTACGTGTCATTATTGTTTTTTTTTAAATCTACCCCAATTCCACGGGAGCACGTCCCCTGGAGGCCGCTTCATTTCGGAGTTTCCCATCGCACTTACTTGTGATGGGCGCCGCTGTGATGATGGTGGCGATGGTGGGGGTGACGGTGGTGGTGGTGATGGTGGTGTTTCAAATGATGCTGGTCTTTTTCGGTAATAGACGTAGAAGAGTTAGAATGGGAGGGCCCTAAGCTCTTCCGCTGCTCCTTGGTCTTCTGCAGCACTCGCTTGTAGGACAGAGTACAAAGCCAACACAACAGCTTCCCATCAACCTTTTGGGAAATCATTCGCAGCAAGTTATGTTACACGTACTGAGTGCTAAAAAGACACACAACAGCCAGAATAAAATTATCAAATACTACCGCTGTTATTCTTGCACACAGATCTTAATATAAACAAGAATACGAATACGTGTGTGATCTAACTCGACTTCAGTCTGTTTGCCTTCCCAAGGACTGTCCCTGGGTTAGGCAAAGAGATTGTTATACTTCATAACATGCCCTGCATCATAATTCTTAATCGTGGTACTAATAAATGGTCTTCTCTAGCTTCTGTTACTACTAATTTGTTCATATAACAAAATAATGTATTGTAGGGGACAAAGGGCTGCTCAGGCTCTTGTGTTTTGAAAAATATGTTGAGTTAACATATTAACATTTTTAAAAACTTGCATCCAGACTTTATTTTTACAAATAATTCAAGATGGAAAACATATCCACCATATCTTCCTCCTGTTTTCCCTACAACAATCCTGTGAGGTGGGTTCGGTTGAGAAGGACTTGGCCCAAAGTCACCCAGCTGGCTTTCATGTCTAAGGCCACGGACTTTTATTTCCTGCTTTCTAGCTGGTGCCTTAACCACTAGATAAACTGGCTCTTCCATGTATATCCTATACGTGATGAATTTCTAAGGCTCTAGTACTATAGTATCTTAAATTCTCTGAAGAATTAATATAAATGCTTACTGCAATAGCTTATATCACATAAATAGTAACTGGGTAAATTATAGACCAATCTTTGACATTGACATTATTTGAACCTCTTAACATATTATAAAAAATATATTCATGTGATTATTTTTGTTGTCCACTCTTTTGCAAAACCAAATTAATTTATCTTACTATCAGAAGTTACATAAACATATAGAAACCCTGACCCAGAAACATATGAAGAGAGAGATTCCTTACATGCAAATTATTTCTCTATAAATACTTGGAAGTACCGTATTTCCCCGAAAATAAGACAGGGTTTTATTTTCTTTTGACCCCCAAAATAAGCACTTGGTCTTGTTTTCGGGAAGGTTGTATTATTTCTGAAGTGAGCATGGTCACCTCATGGCTGCTGCTGTATTACAATATTTTCAGGAAGGGTTTATTTTAGCGCATGAGCTCAAAAGCCCGATTGGGGTTATTATCGGTGGAGGTCTTATTTTCAGGGAAACAGGGTAGTCATTTTAATGTAGTATAAAAGACAGTTTTACATCAGATCAATAATGCAGCTAATCTAGTTACATAAGACATAAGTATGTCTTATGTACCATACACCCCTTTTATATAGAGACACAAAGATTTGATCATTGCTATGGATATTCATCAATGTAAGACTAAGTAGCATAACTAGCCATTCAGGTCTGACTTGGGAGAATGGAATGTAAGCTGGATTTTACTCAGTTGCTTTGAGATCAATTATACTGTCAATTTTACACCACAAACTTTGATTTTAAATCACCAAAGCCTACCTTTCTCCTTCCTTCTTCTTTGCGGTCAAAAGCACATTGCTGCTTACACTGTTCACATGTCTGAGGTGGTCCATATTTTTTTTCCGAGTTTGTACAGCGCTGGCATTTTGTACCAATAAAAGCAGCAATGATGTTGCAGTACTGACAAGGTTTTGGCTGGAAAAAATGGTTAGAAACTCTTTAAAATATATTAATTTGTTGTTGAGAACTGAAAATCAATTGGGGGGAGGGGAAATCAAATAATTATACAGCGGTCTGAAGACAGATTGCCATCAAATACAGTACTTGCAAGCTAAAAGAGCATTATGTTTTATAACTGGAACAAGAGATAATGGTTCATAATCCCTTCGAAAACATAGTTTCAGTTGTTCCATTTATATAATTCCAATCAGTGTCTGGAACTGCTTCATAAAATTGGAATTGCATTCATCTGGATGAATTATATCAAACATAAATTCCTTATCTGATACCAAGAACCTCAAAACAAACAATCCACTCAGTGTTTTGTTTATTAATAAATTTTCAGTATGCATGGATCATTTCTCTTCATGTCACATAACCAAGGAAAATTGTAACTGCTATTTCAGAAAATTGCTCTATTATATCAAACAAACAAGGACAAAATGTCTACAATTTGTGTAGGAATCTAGACAATTATAGTTTAGCAATCCAATCATAAATATGACTAAAGATGTTAACTTACCGTTCCAAATTGTTTCACATTTTGGGCACACTTCTTGCATATTGTATTAGTTTTGCTAAAAGAAAAGCAAAATTTCAAATTTTAGCTACTTCGTTATCAAACACCTACCTATTATTGTTGAAAAGGAGAAATTTGTGAATTAAATTGTTGCTAATGTTCTCAAATATGTTGCTGCCACATAAATTAAGAGAACAAATTTTCCATTCAGAAACAAACAAGATTAGTCTAGGTGTATTAGTTCTATAGGAATTTTATATCAAAATGGGCAAATGAACTATTATAACCTTAAGTAATTTTAAATCTCAGACACCACTATTTAGTAGTTTCTACTCAGTGTGTCATTTTAAATTCTAATTTTTGAATTATTGAGGACTCAGTCTTAATATATTATTGCAAGAAAACTACGTAATTTCTTCACTGAGAATAATAAACTGCTGCATTAGTAAAAAGTTTAAAAATGGTGAACCAAAGTCACATCCTATTATGCCACATAAATGATTAAGTGTGGAGAGTTGCTAGCACTCTGACTTTTTAGTGCAGGGGTGTCGAACTTTCATTGAGAGCCTCATAAGGGATGTGTTTAATCTTGAGGGGGTTGGGGGAACAGAGTGGGCATGGCCAGCTCGATGTCACTCATGTCAGGAGCGCCTGTGGAGGAGCGTGCTGGGAGAGGCCATCGCAGCCAAAAACGGAGCTCCGGAGGGGGGCAGTCAGCACGCTGATGCTGCCAGACACCACCAGGTTGTAGATCAGCGCCTGGTCAGCCTAGACTGGCTGAGGCACCACGGGCCAGGTCTTCACTGATTCCAGGGTGGCCCCTCGAGCCAGATCTAAGCACCTGGCAGGCTGCATCCAGCCCGCGGGCCTTGAGTTTGACACCCCTGATCCAGTGAATAAAGATCACCTTTTTGAGGCTATCATTTGAAAAAATATTAGACATACCACTAAATGGGAAAGAAAAAATACAATGCAATCCTAAGGAAATTCATATATGTATATTAGGAAAAAATGGAGTAGGGCAGTGTTTACTAACGTGGTTATTTTTCTGAGGTACAGAGGCTACAATTCCAGGAATTCCCAGCAAGCAGAACTAGATATGAATTTAAGCTCCATGCATGGCATTTCGAGAGCCACCAACAGTTACTTTTCTTCAACAATTCTTTTAATATATTTATTTCACTTACCTCTCTTGCTGAAACTCTGATCGGCAGTAAGTACATTTTACAATAGGATGCGCAATACGGCATTCCTAGAAGAGATAATCAATATTTTATTGAAGTGCAAAAATTAATATTAGGTGCATTAGATTTTACCTTACAAAACAGAATTTCTGCCAATGACAAATAGTTTTGCCAATTAGAGCAAGCAGATCACCAAATTTAGTGTATCAAAATGGAACGTTACGTCCCTATATCAATCACATGTACTGACAAAGCAAAATTATTATACAGCTTCTAAATCTTGGTGAACACACGCCCAATTTAACTTTCAGCTTTTGCAAATCACCTTGGTTCTTTATGTGTAATTAGTAATTTGATTTATTTAATTGCATTAGTTTAATGCTTTTAATGTACAATGCAAGAATGTTCCCAATCTTTAAAGTATTAAAATTAAAGTAAGATATCTGTATTTTAATTTAAATAAATTATTATATAAGGCAGTAGTAGTGAATACTGTGCTGTGATAGACAATGATAGTTGTGTCGCCAGGCAGACGAGACAAAATCTCACTTGCCAAGCTTCTTTCTAAAATCAGCTAGTGGTCTTGAGGAGACACAATAAAGTCTTACTGCTTCTAAACATTCCTCAGCTGAGGTGGTAAAATAGGACACTATTCTTGATTATTGGACCAACAATACAATTTTATTAGAACAGAACAGCTCCTTTGGCAGACTATTGCACAAAATTAACTTTGTTAATTTTTCCAAATAAAGATGTACAGGTAAACGTCAACTTAAATTTGCTTAGTGACCATTCAAAGTTACAGCGGTACTGAAAAAAGATCATGTGATCAAAAGTTGGGCTAGGCAACCGGGAAGTATTGTATTTATGACAGTTGCAGTGTCCTGGGGTTATGTAGTTGCCATTTGCAACCTTCCCAGCCAGCCTCCACAAGCAAAGTCAATGGGGTGGGGGGACCAGATTCTCTTTAACAACTGTAGCGATTCACTTAACAACCATGGCAAAGATTATAAAATTGGCTATTACCCACCTAAGAACCAACTTGGGAATTCTGGCTTCCAAGTGCGGTTGTAAATCAAGGATTACCCACATGCCATATGTCTCAACAACTTTTGGAAGTTGAAACATAAATATTTCAATAAAAATCATTCACAAAGAACAATAATCTCACACACAGTTTAAATGTAGTTTGCTCTGCAGTGGAGATTATTTTATTTATTTTTCTTGCAAGTGCCTCTATTTCAATTTAATTGAATGACACTGTGCAGCAATTATCATTTAAAAATACTGATGCTGCTGAACCCAATGTTCACTTCTTTAACACCTAACATACTGTCTCAAACTACACGATGCTTCAATGAATACTGTCTACCCTCAGTAGGCTGTTACATAAGAAAGCACAGACAATACGGAAGACAGAAACCCACAACCATTTTTGGCATTTTTGAAATTTTCCATTAAAAAAAATAATTGCTTTGTTTTAATATTATGAATTCCTGAAATTAAATGACTTGGGATGTGTCAGCTACTGGATCCATCTAACAGTTCTGGGATATTTTGAAACTGCCTAGGAACATTTATATCATAAAACACCACAGCTTTTCTTTTTAAGAGAAAACAGATGTCTCCTTGCTAACATCAGATCAACATTTGGTGCTTTCTATGCATACAACTGATTCTTCCCATTTCAAATATCTAAGTAGCAGTGAATTTATGTTTTAAATGCCAGGGTGAAAGTACAACCTATGTAAACAAGAGATAGCAGTAGCTCTTGCCCTCCTACTCCCACAATCTAGTAACAGAAACACTGTGCATTTTTCCATCTATGGACATTTTCCGGTATATCTCATTCCATAAGAAATGAATTAAAAGGAAAAAAAAACCTGGATGAAATTTAAAAAAAAATCTTTCAGTCAAGAGCCCCAACAGTAATGGTGTCAAATCATTTAAAATTAGTTTGACATTCCAAATAGTGGTACATGTTATATAGTTGTCCTTATTTATTTACATTCTGCCTATATAACTCAAGGCAGCGAACACATTATTACTAATATTATTACTAATATTATTACTAATATTATTACTAATATTATTACTAATTGTATTTTCCTTCTGATGATTTTTTAAATATATTTAATGGAGTTTACTTTAAGTAACCATCTTAGTTCTGCTGCTGAATAATTTGTGAAAACATTTTTTGGATTATTTTCACTACGTGGCTGTGTGTGTATCCATAAACACACAAACGTGTGTGAAAGTGAGTGACTGTGTGTGTATGCACGAGTGTTGCCCTAATATTACTAATTTTATTCTTCTGATGACTTTATACTTCATGGTGTCAGAGTTTAAGTAACCATCTTGGTTCCGCTGCTTAATAATTGAGTTATTTTCACTCCTACGTGGCTGTGTGTAAAGTATACATGAGGGTGAGGGTGTGAATATGAGTGTGTGCCAATGTACGAGAATGTTGCCCTAATATTATTAATATTAATTGCATTCGCCTTCTGGTGACATTTTTATACTTCACGCTGTCAAGGTTTAACTTTAAGTAACTATTTTGCTTCTGACGCTTAATAATAGAGTTATTTTTACTCCTATGTGGCTGCGTGTTAAGTATACGTGAGTGTGAATGTGAGTGTGTGCCAAATGTACGAGCGATGTGTATCGTTTTTATCTGCAAGGCCTCCTAAGGAAAAAAACAACCCTATAAATAAAAGGCCAAGGATTTGCTCCGGCCGGCCGAGCGCCTTTCTTCCAAAGCCTCCAATCCAAGAGCCGCCTGGCCGATCGCAGCCGCCCACGCAACCGTCCCTCCCTCCCTCCCTCCCTTCCTTCCCGGCCGCCTCCACCCTCGGCCCCGAGGAAGCGGCACCTTGCAGAGCTGCTGTCCCTGGGAGAGCTCCTCGAAAGGATAGCGCTGGTTGCACTTGGTGCAGGCGTAGAGAGCCGGGGCCGCGCCGGATCCCGCGCCCGCCGTCGCCGCCCCAGAAGCCCCGGATGTTGCCGCCATCCGCCTTCCTCTCGGCCTAAAGGGAGCCACGGCCGGCCGGCCGCCAGCCCGCCCGCCCGAGAGGAGATCCAAGACAAGACAAACCGCGCTCCGGTCCTCCTCGCTTCCCCGGCGTCGAATAGGCCGCGCCTCTTTCTTGTGTCAGCCGCGGGGGACCGAACCCGTTTTTTTCTCTCTCTCTCCTCCTCACACAAACACAGGGAGAGCGCGAGCGAAAGAGCGAATGAACGCCTCCGAGAGGCGGGCCCGCTTCCTCGGCCAATCCGAGCCGCGCGGCAAGACTTCCTTTCAAACCTCGCTGTCCAATGAGGGGACGGGGCGGAAGGACGCGCGTCGTCGCCGCTGTCGCCCGTCCGCCTCGCGGCGTGACGTCGCGACCGACCCCCACCAATCAGGAAACCGAACGGGCTCCGGAGTGCGCGCTCTCTCTCATTGGTCCTCCGAGGCGCTCTTCTGAAGTTTGGAGGTTTCCACCGTCCCATGGCTGCGCTTGCGCAGAAGAGAGCGGGGAACGCTTCCTGCCTTCTCTTCCTCTCGCTTCTCTGCCAACAACCCCCAAAAAACATTCTTAACCCACGCCGTACTGGCTGTACGATTGGTCTCGCTACTGATACGTTCCCAGGAAATATAACTCCGAAAATCCAGGTTGGGCTTAAGAAGCACCGCCTCTCAGTCCCATCGCCTACGCCTATTGGCTGTTTGTCGCGTCAATCGCTGCCTCCACTGTGTGACGCAAGCGTGCCGTAAGAGGCAACGAGCGGATACGTTGGGAGGGGGGGAGGAGGAGGAGGAGGAGAAGGAGGAGAGAAGGAGTCGCGTCGTGGTTGGCCGGTTGCTATGTCACTCAATAGAGCTATCTTGTTGACAGCTGGAAGGGCGGAGGGAGGAGGCGGGAGCGAGGCTGCTGGCCTTAAAGGGACATACACCCGGCACGGCCGCTTTTTAACGACATGGCGGTAGCCGAGGCCCCTGAGCACACGGTGAGCCGGAGGGAGGCGAAGCCGCGGCGGCCCTGCTAGGGACCCTATCTTCAGTGTATGGGGGAGCACTCGCAGGCCGTCCGTCCCTCTGTGGAGGCCCGAGTGTACCTCCTCGGGGAGGGGGACAATAATGCGCTCTGTACATGTCCAGAGGCGCGTTTTTCCGTTAGGCTGCTGTCTGTATTCCCTAACTTCGGGAGTTTAACCTGTATTTTCTCTCCCTCGCCATGTAGCATTGACAGGTGGCTGAAGGAGGGGTATAGTTAAAATGCGCCTTTATATATAACTATATAATAACTTTATAATAACTGTATAATAACTATAGTTAAAATGTAGTTTATTTGATTGCTCATGCTTGAGATACACTATTTGTGTGTGTGGATAAGCTATTAGTGGCCTCAATTTAGATATGAGCCTAAAACCATTTAAATAAAATTGAGCTCAGTTTCTAAGGGAAAATTTGGCTTTTGGGGGGTGCTGCTTCTAGCCAACAACCTTGAGCATTTCCTGGTGGCCTCCCTTTCAAGGTCTCTGCAGTTTGGGTTGACCCTGGCTCTTTCTCAGACCCATCTTGGGCTGCAGGGAAGATAGAGAAAGAAAGAAGAGAATTTCGTTTGGGGCTTTGTCAGCAACAGGCAAGGATTGTCTCTCTCTCTGTGTGTGTGTGTGTGTGTGTGTGTGTGTAAAGCAAATATAAATCCATTACACACACCCTTTGCCTGTTGCTGAGAAGGCCCCAAATCAAATTATCTTCTTTATCTATCTACCTTCCCTGCATGGATTTATATTTATCTATCTGTATTTAGTGTGTGTGTGTGTGTGTGTGTGTGTTTGTTTGTTTGTTTGTATGTATAGGATTAATTAAAAATCCATGATGGATCTG